ATTTTGACTTGGATGCCCTTTCCACTTTGTGAAGCCAGAGGAAGTTCAACATGGCTTCCCATGTCATTTTTGCATTTGCAAAAGAAGTTTCTTGCAGTGACAAAAAACAGCGGTTTCTTGTCTCTGTATTTTTGCATACAATATCCTTCCTTCTCCCGGCCCCCCATTTAGTCTCTCTTTTCCCCACCTCAATTTACAGATCATTTATTCATGAAGCTTTCCTGCTACTCCATGGCAAAGCTGATTTTGCCTTCCTCTTTGTAGCCAGTCTTCCTTGTAAAGCTCCCTAATGGGCAGTTACACAAAACCCCACAAAACCCCAAATCCGCTGATACTGATTGATTCCCACTCATAGGGACCCAATCTGGGGTTTTTCAAAGACTAAGTTGTTACTGGAGCAGAGGGCCTCTTCTTTCTCCTGCAGCGTTGCTATTGGACTACTGACCTTGTGATTAACAGCTCAACACCTAATCCACAGTGTCACCAGTGTTCCTTAAGGGACAGTTATATAAATTTGTTTTTTATTTGACCTCTAGCATAATGTGCACTGTTTTATTTCTTTCACCTAGAAAAAGGCCTAAAACATTGTAAATATCCAACATTGTATAATATGAAACAGAAATATCTGTCAAGCACTTTGGCACCAACTGAATTAATTAGTGGTGATCATTTCAGGAAAGAATCCCAGATATGCGATGCTAGTAAGATCTGGTCATAAATATGCATTAAATGTAAATCCTTTCTTCCAATAATATTAAAAAAGAACTGTCTAGCCCAAGAACCAAACAAAATTATGGTCTGTATTTTTTCTTATCAATCCAGCCTAGGATTAAAAAAAAATGTGCTACTCTAAAATATGTGCTAGATAACATTCCTGGGGGCAAGGGGATTGTTTTATTCATTATGCAAGCTTAGATTCTCAGTCTCTCAAGGGGAATTTGCTACCTAAATTGGTATCCTCCACTGACTAGGCCAACATAAACATGGCTGGGAACACGGCAGTGTTTTTATGGTCCTTATTCCCCGGAGAACTTGTTTCACTGGGAAAGATTCTCTCACTACAGTGAGAACTTGCACGGGTCTCCTAGTTCTGGAAGACTTTCATGGAAAGGACTGCCTGGGACCACCCACTGTAAGCTCATTCAGTTCTGTATACACCCAAAGGGCTTCCTCCAGAAGTCCTTCCAGATCAGGGAACAGGAAGGCAAACACTTTCCAATCCTGTGAATGGTCCTTGTAAGTGAGGAATAAGTAAGTGGCCACAGCTCTCTTTTAGTTTGCCCCTCCTAGAATGCAGTCACATTTTCCTGGCATATTTTTGGAAAGTAGGCCTTTCTGTTGACTTTCCTTGTTAAGTGTAGAAGAACCAGGCATTTTCTTTAAACCCTATTTCCCCTGTCTTCAAGAGAAGGATTGGTACAGTGACAGCAGCAATGGACTCAAGTATAACATCCACTGTCAGGATGATGCAGACCTGGTTGTAGGTAGGGTTTCTATGTACAACAATGGAATTTATTGATAATAATAATAATTATTCAACACTATGCTAAACTTTGTACATGAGTAATTGCCCACAATTCTCATGGCAACACTGAGAGGTAGACATTATTAACTATTCCTGATAAGATAGATAAGGAAAATGAAGATCAGAGGGGAAATTAACTCAACCAGTCAAAAAGCTATTTCCTCTTTCTATTGGACTGGATTTCCTTTTTGAGAATCTATGAATGTCCTTTGGGATGGAAATGTCACAATATTTGAGGACATGCTTAATTTTTTGAAAGCGCCATGATTGGCAGGATTAAAAGGTAAGAGATAGAGGTGAGAAATGCCATGTTTGGACAAAGAGCAAGTGTGGCCATAGAGAAGGGGGGCTGGCTTCTTTATTGTGGGTCAGAAGGCATTTCCCAAGAAGGTTTCAGAGGATTTTAGCATTGAAGACCATTTATAATTGTTTATGATTTTTAACAGTGTTCCGTGGACATAATATTTAGAATAGTGTTGAGATTTAGATGTTATATAATGAAATCATCATGTTTTAAAAAATGAGTTTGAAGAGATTATGTGAATTAGATAAGGTTCTCACTTAGTAACAAAATGTTGTTGTTGTGAAGTGCTGTTGAGTTGGTTCTAACTCATAGTGACCCTGTATAGTGTTTCCCAGGAGTGGGTGGTGAGCTTGAACTCCTGACTTTGTGGTTCCAAGTGACCTTGCAGTCCAGCACATTAACACACAGCACTACACCAGGACTCCAGAGACAGAACAGGAACTGACTTAAAAATTCTTGTAGCATAGTGGTTACGAGTTGGGCTGCTAACCTCAAGGCCATAGAGTCAGTCCCAACTCATAGTGACCCCGTATAGGGCTTCTGAAGATGTAAATCTTTATAGGAGCAGAAAGCCTCAACTTTCTCACACAGAAAAGCTGGTAGTTTCGAACTGCTGACCTTGAGGCTAGCAGTCCGACTTGTAAGCACACTACCAGAGCTCCTTAGCGTGAAGCTAGGAGGGCGTTAAGTAGCAGACTGGGAAGTCAGGACCTGTGTTCAAGTTAGAACTGGGTCATTTATCATTGCATGATTTTGGGAAATTATATAATCTTTTTGTGCCTTAATTTCCTATTCTGTAAAACAGGTATTATCTCAAATATTTGTCTTGAAGATTATGTAAGTAACACATAAATGATTAAGTGTTTGACTGCTAATCAAAAGATTGTTGATCAGAATCTATTCAGAGGTGCCTTGGAAGAAAAGTCTGGCAATGTACTTCTAAAAGGTAATAGCCATTGAAAACCCAACATACATTTCTACTCTTAAACACATGTTCCCCATTAGTTGGAACTGACTTGACAGCAACTAGTTTGGTTTTTGTGATTTGGTACTTATTACATTAGTGGATGAATAGTAATCCTTTAGTAAATAGTGGTGTTGTGATAGAGATGCATCTAATCCTGACTTTCTCAAACCTTATCCCATTTCCCTAACCTAAACAGTGTAGTTGCTGTATGTGTGCTATGTCACACTTCTTTGGCCTGCCTTGACTTCATTTATAGTTGTGACAGACATTTTTGTTCATCCTATTTCACATCAAGTATGTGTCCCTCCTCTCTGCTTTTCTGCTTTAGGATTTTCTCTAAAGCCGTAAAAGTTGAGTTAGTGCTCCAAGGGCAATCTCAAATCAAAGAGTTAATAGGTCAATGTCCTAACCTACCCTTTGGATACAAATTCCCTGGGACATTCTGTGATGAAGTACTGGCAGACTCAAGAGTCTATTGACCGTAGTAGCAATGACCTCTTCAAATCTGAGGTTATAGGATTTTATAAATGTCGAAGCAATTGGCATAACACTGAGCAAAACTTAAAAGAATACTTTATTTTATATTATATCTAAATAAAAACCCAGATAACATCAAATGATGCACATTAAAAAATGTTGGACAGATACAGGATCCACTAAGAAAAAGGAAACCATGATTAAGAAACTGTAAGAGACAGACAAACATTCTCTCTTAATCTGAAAAGAAGCAGGTTGTAAGATCATAAAAAGTGATCGCAAAACATGAAGACTCATCTGGATTTATTGTTCACAACAGGTCAGCATTATTCTTCAGCATAAATACAAACCCATCCATCTTACTACACAGCAGAGAGGAATGGTTATGTAAGCTCACATTTCGTTATCCAGATGAATTGCAAAGCTGTGTAACTACTAGCCATGACTTAGTTAAGTCAAATTGCTAATGTAAGCCTCATTTCTCGTCTTAGTCATGGGGGGACAAAAATGATATCTACCCCATAAAGTTGTTGTGAAGATTAGGTAGAAGCTTTGAAGAGCTTCTCAGAGTGCTTAAAACATTCTAAGCATTCAAGAGATGTTAATTAGCATTATTATTGAAAGGTTAGATAAATTCCCAATGTAATGGACAATATACTAACATTGAGGACTATGGCAAACACTAGTTTCTTTAAATTACCAGCTTCATTTTTTTCCTTTAAAATGTACATGTCAAATAAGTAAATTCTTCATAATAAAAATAAAAATTTTAAGAAAGCATGGGCAAATAAAAATCACTAGTGATTTGAGCACATTTCCTTCAAAGTATAAACTATTTTTTCAAGGGTGTTTCGATCATGTGCCTTTAAAACATTATAAGCATATTTTTATTGTGATAAATACATATATTACATATCATTTGCCATTTCATCATTCTACATGTATACAATTCGTTTACATTAGCTATAATTATCATGTTGTTTTCCCATCACCTTTTTCATTACCAAGAGCATATTTCATTAAATAAATAGGATATTCTGCATTTCATTATTCTTTTATATATTGTACTCCAAGATTTTCAAGCTTAGATTAAAAGTACAGCTACTGTATTTTTCAGGAGAAAGATGAGGCTTTCTGCTTCCATAAAGATTTACAGCCTTGGAAACCATAAACAGGGTGCTATGGGTTGGAACTGACTCCACAGCACATAACAACAACAACTGTATTTTAAAAAAGTTTGTTTCATGCATTGACAAATGCTTTGTTAGGATAAATTTTGAAAAGTGAGATTATAGCACTAAAGAATATAATGTTTTCAAAAGTTCTTGCTACATATTGCCCTAATTCTTTTCAAAGCTTTTGTGCCGATTTATACCATCCTCTACAATTTCCAAAGAATCTGTTTCAATATAACTTCACTTTCATTGTGAGTTTTCATTAATAAAAACTGCTAAATTGAAAGGTAAAAAATGCTATTTAATTATAGTTTTATTGTTTCTTGAATTACTAAACAGATTAATAATTTTTCCCTGTTTTAAAGCCAATTATATTTTTGTGTCAGTCCTTTCTGTTTTTTTGTTTTTACTATTTTTTGGAGGTTGTGGTAAATTTTTAAATTTAAATTTTTATATAACAAAGATATCAATAACTTTTTGACCTATGGGAAGGAACCAAGCTGGCTTACAAAATACACTTTGGTACACCAAATAGAGGCAGAATTTTGAGGGCAAACCAGAGAAATACGCTTATGTGCTTGGAGGCAACTGAAATTGTTACTGTTAGGAAATAGTTATATCAAGCCACTAAGGATAAGGGGAAGTGGAGTGGGCAGGGTCACCTATTTCCCACAGACTGAAGGTTTTTGTCACAGCTTATCTTGAACATGGCAAGCACCCGCGTTCTGATCTGCTTGGTCTTGGCTCCATAGATGATGGGATTGATCACAGGAGGCATCAATAAGTAGACATCACCCATGAGAACATGCACAATGGGATCCAGACTGTTTCCAAAACGGTGTACCACTGAGAGGCCAATGAGTGGTACATAGAAGGTCAATACCACAACGATGTGTGACACACACGTCCCAAAGGCCTTGGCCCGCTCCGACTTGGAAGGCAGCTGTAGAACTGTTCGTATAATCAGAAAATAGGACAAGGAAATGAACATGACATCCACGCCCATAACCAGCAGTATGGCAGTAAGACCATAGACCACATTAGGCAAAGTGTCTGCATATGCCAACTTCATCATATCCTGGTGCACACAATACGAGTGTGAGAGCACATTGGAGTGGCAGAAGGTAAGCCGCTTGATGAGTAGAGGCAGTGGGAAAAAGAATAGGGAGCCACGAGCCACAGCCACCAAGCCAATCTGGGCTGTTACTGTATTGTTGAGCACGGAGGCATGGCGTAATGGGTGGCAGATAGCCACATAACGGTCAAAGGCCATGGCGAGCAAGATTGTAGATTCTATGGCTGAAAGAGCATGAATAAAGAACATCTGGGCAAGGCAGGCATCAAAGGTAATCTCCCGGGAGTTGAACCAGAAAAGAGCGAGGATCTTGGGCATGGTGGATGTAGATAAGGCCAGGTCAATGGCTGCCAGCATGCAGAGAAAGAGATACATGGGCTCGTGCAAGCTACGCTCTGTCCTTACGACGAAGACCACGATGCAGTTTCCAAACACTGCCACAGCATACATTGAAAATAGCGGGAAGCCGATCCAGAAATGAACTGTTTCTTCTAGTCCTGGGATACCAATAAGCACAAAGGTGGCATGTGTGAAGTTGCAGGAATTCATAGCTGGTATTGAGTTTGGGGAACTGGAGAGAGTGAGGTCACACTGGCAGCCTGCTAGCCTGCTAGGATATGGAGCACAATCAGAGAGGCCAACCCTAGGAATCTGGGAGCTGAGGGTATTTTTAGCTCTTCCTATTTCCCCTCCCCTGCCCCTTAGTCCCTAGCCTCATCCCACACAGATGCCATCTAGGCTCTTCAATAAGCTCTGAGTAGCTCTTCCAAAGGGAGAAGGTGAGAGGTCACATTCATTTATCAATCAGTATCTCAACGTCCATTTAATGTTTTAACAAAAGTCTCTGTGGAGACCAATTCTTATCCCAAAATGTTGCTTTCCCAAGTTTTCTCAGACTTCTCGTCATGGTCCATACCTTTATTGTCTGGATACTAGCAAGTCTTTGACTCAGAAAGGTGCTAAGAGATTCCCTATTCAAAATCCTTTCCAGCTAGAGCTATGCTTCTTTTTTGTTTCATTCATAAACATTTACTTATATGATATGCTATGTATAAGGCTATTCGTTAGATGCTGCTGATAGAGAGATAAAAGTCACCTCCCTTACTGTTAGTTGTCCTGCCTAGTGGAGGCAATAAAGTAAACCAAATTATTAGAGTATTGTGACAAATATTAACATTAGGTGTGTATTTATTGCAGGGAAGAGGCGAGGCATTGTCAGAGAAACTTACCTGGAAAAGTTGATCCTTTGTTCAGTCTTGAAACATGAGTAGAAAATAGGTGCGTAAAGAAGGGAATAAAGGCTATTTCAAGCAGCAGGGAAAGGGGATTTTATTTTTCACATTTTGAAGGTTCCAGGACTCAAGGTCTAAGTCCAGAGAAGAGGTAAAGAAGCATAAAAACAATAATTAAAAACAAACAAATGAACAAACAAATAACAACACAAAACTTAAAAGAAAAAAAGAAATGAAAAAAAAAAAGCAAAAAAAAACTAAGACAAAAAGATCAAGAATATATTTTTCAGGCTCAGAGGAAACCCGTCCAGAGACATATAATGAAGGTAGTACTTTCCCATGGCTTCTATGGAAATAAAGACCTTTAGCAGATGATAGCTACCTGGTATGGTCCCTGAGAAGACGCTTCTGCTCCTGGCTGGTAAGTTTCTCCACCCCTGCAAATTGCCTTCCAGGGTCACTCCCACTGCTCTCAAGAAAGTTAGTCTAAAACCTGACCTGGAGCTAAGTCTTTTCTGGAATCTCTGCCAATAAGTTATCCATGTCTCGGGAAACTTTTCTTTCTTGGAAGCCTGGTGTCACTATACTCTAATCTCCTGCCCACACCCAAACTAAGGGACACTAACCTCATCAAACTCTTTTCCTGCTAGGATTCCTAGATGTCCTACTCTTTAGAGTTAATTATTTTTAAGGAATCAAGGGCTGGGCTTCTAGGAGCTGAGGCTCTGCCTCTTGGAAATAAACTCTTCAGGCTTCTTCCTAACAGTATTCATGTCAGCCTGTTTATCACCCCAGAATTCTTCTTTTCTAACTTAGACTCGGGAGGTGCCTTTCCTTTTGACTTAGTGGAGAAGGTTTCAGTAATAGTATTCTTAATGTATAATATGAAAACATGAAGACTAAGCGATTTGACTTCAATTCTCCCTATTTTTAATAAGCAAGGGAAAACAGACCCTGGGTTATAAGATCTCAAAAGACACACTTCTGAACGCTACTTATTTTATCTTCTCAGAATTTAGGCAAAGACACAATATCTACCTTCCTTGGTAAATATTTAATACCAAATATGGACCCCAACTGTTGTCAGAACACAAACAAGTATTTTCAGAGGCATAGAATGATATCCTTCAGTGAGATGCAACACTTTCTTAATAGATAACTTTGGCTTAATAGATAAGGCATGCTGGAGAGTGTGGGACTGAGAAAATGAAACGTCTAGAAAGAGGCAGATCACTGTGTCCAACAGCAATGGCGCCCATGTTGAAGACAAAGGAAGGCATGAAGGCCTACCAGGGAGAGCATGACAATGCATTTCCTCTTTCCCAAGGCCTTTTGTCCATCTACAACAAGGAATTTTGGTAGCATAGTGGTTATGAGGTCAGCAGTTTGAAACCAGCAGCTGTTCCATGGGAAAAAGATGCAGCTTTTTGCTCCTATAAAGATTTACAGCCTTGGAAACTCTATGCATGGTCACTATAAGTTGGAATTTACTCATGACACACAACCACCACCACCACCACTGCTGCAGGCAACACTGGTAAATTCGGCACTTTATTGAATTTTGTCATAAGGCATATTTTCTTGTTTGCTGGCACCTTCACTTCCTTGTTGAAGTCTCAGCACTTGGCTCTATCTTCTTATATACCCAGGTACATATCTTAGAAGACCTCATGTCTTCCTCACCTGGTGTCTGCCCTGTTGCCTAAGGTAGACTTTGTCTAGACCTAATTTCAGCTTTTCTTTGGGTTGAATGTGGCTGTTGCATTCATTCTCACATACTATCTGAATCATCAGCTAAGATTCTGGGACATTTCTTTCCAGCCCAAGAAGATGTGGGTGGGACACAAAATCTCCTCCTACCAAACGCTGCCATGAAGTAGTATATGGAGTCTTTAAGACCCCTTATATGGTAGGCCTCATGAGCTACCCAACCTCAGATGAGGGCAGACTTACCTGGTGATGGCATAACCTTACTGAGTGAGAAAGCTGGAGCTGGATTGCCCTTTCAGGAACATGCCTATTTATAATGCTTTCGGGAGGCCCATGGGAACAGGCTGTGGGAATGTGGACTAAGGCGCCAGGGACTTGGCAGACAGGAACATCTCTATATCCTCTTGTGTGTCACTCCCATAGGCTTCTAAATGGTCTTGCCTAGGGGAAGAAATCAAAAAGGGCCTAAAGCCTCCACCATTCTTCCCACAAGCATGTAGGTTTCTCAGAAATCTCTCTCTCCTTTTCAAAGCTAATCCAAATTTTCAAGGTCAGCCACTCTTTGATGAGTGTCTTTCCACTCCCAGCAAAACAACCAACATGGATGTACAGTTATGGCCCCTGGTCTCTAGGAATTCATATTATCTTTAAAAACAAAATGGTATACAAAATTAGCTCTGTTATTCAAAGTAGGACGCACAGTAACTGGATGCATTAGGTGAGGGGTGAATAGTATCACCTCTGGTCAGTACTCTGACACTTCTCTGTATCTTTTCTCGGCTTTTCTTTCAGTTAAAAACAGTTTTAAAAGTAGAATGCTGATCTTTTTCATACCTGTACTGCAGATAAAATGCAGATTGAATGAAAACACTTAGATTTAATTCATGTTGTTAATTAGTGATATATTATTTAAGAAACCACATGCTGTGAATCTTTAGTCATTCATTCATTCCTTCAACAAATGTCATTGGAGAGCCTGCAAGGTAATAAGCAAAATTAACAACAGCAACAAAATCCCCATCTTCATGGAGTTTACATTTTTTGAGGGGAGCAGGTAATAAACTGAGTTAATATATTAACTAAATAAGATCATCAGGATACAAAAATAAAGGGCAGAAGTGAAGAGATAGATAAACTATCAGTAGACATTTTAGACAGGGTTACTAGGGAAAGCCTTACATATTAGAGATATTTGATGAGATACTGGAAATTAATGAAGAATATGTCTATGGAGATATTTGGGGAAGACAATTTCAGAAAGAAGATACAGAAACTAGAATGTTTCTAAGCAGGCTGTATGTCCTGGGTTTAGAATAACTAAAGAATATAGGGGAGAGTTGGAAGGACATAGCATCAGAGGGATGGTGGTGAATTAAAACATGCGTGATGTTATAGAACTTACAGAGCATTTAAGGACTTTGGCTGGGACTCTGCATAAGTTGAAATTCTCTTGGAGAATTTGTTTGTTCTTTTTCCCTAAACTTTCTTGTAAAACTTGTAAGCCAATCACTTCATGCCTTTATCGCCCCCTCATTTTAGGTAGCCAATGCCTAAGTTGCCCATTCCTATCTACTCTGAATACAGAGGGAATAACATTGATACTTGATGTGAAGACTTATTGGAGAATTTTAAGTAGAGGAGGAGAATGATTTGATGTACCTACAATGACCCTTAATTCTGTCTGAATGGTTTTCTCTAGCTCCCCATTGGCTTATTTGCACATCTGTGGTGCTACCCATGTTTCTTCTTCCATTTTCCCCTTTCACTCATGTTGTTTCTGTTTTCATTTTTCCCTTTCCATGATTTCTCCATGTTTCAAACTTTTATGATCTAGCCTAAGCATCACCTCTTCCAGGATGTGTCCCAGTACTTGTAGATCCTGTGATTCCTCTGTAGATGTCTAATTGATATTTAAGATGGTTGATTGATGAGAAAGAGATAAATTCCTATTTTAAAATAATACAATGTGGCAATGAAAGGTATGGTCACGAGTGAGCAAATTAGAAAGGACAAAGCCAGGAAAAGATAAATGCTGAATAGAATGCAAAGACAATTTCAACATATGCCACAGAGTACATGCCACTGGAAGAAAGCAATCACAGGATTTTTGGAAAGTGGGGGTGCTCAAAGACTAATGTGTGGGTGGTAAAGTGGCAGAGAAAAATGTGGGTAGAAAGAATGTGAACATTTAGATTGCCTGCTTCTTGAGATTGAAGTTCCTTCTTCATTTCCTCTCATTCCTAAGACTCTGAATTCCCCCCACTTCTTTTATAGACAAGGTCACACTCTCCATTTCTCTTCTCTATAAACCATCATCTTATATAGTGTGTGAAAGCAAATTTGAAAAAAAAAAAAAAAAAAATCAGTCTGTAAGTACACATCATCTGAAGTTTCTTATCTTTCCTTGAACCTATCTCTAGCTTCTCTGGATTTTTGTTTTCCATTCACTGTAAATGAAACATGTATAAGGATGTACATCTGTGGGTGACAAGTGAGGGGGGATCTCAAGGGAGATAAATGCATAGAAAACAGCTAGATTTTTATTCAAATATATATCACTTTCTGAAATGACCTTTTAATCTTTTTACCTGTATTTGTTAATGACTAGAAAGGAGAATTTTATTTTGAAAAGGGGAAAATGTAAGGCTGTTTAGGAT